CCTGACCGTGGCATTGTCGGCAATGGCGACGGCTTTCCTCGGATCCACATGCATGCATCCCCCCCCCCCCCCATGGAAACTTGATAGGGCGTCGCTCACCCGAACTCCGAATGGATAAGCCTTCATTCCAGCACCCGCACGACACTTGCAAGCGCCGGCGCGCGCGCGCTCTCGGGCCCTTTGTGAAAACACGGCGGCGATTTCGCGTCAACTCCCTGACCCCAGACCTCCACGCGTGGAAGCGAGAACCCTTCTGCCGCGTGCGATCGGGAAGACCGAGCTCAATCAAACATCAACCACCAATACTCCAAACATCTCTACGCACAAGTGGCTTCTGGCTTGGAACACCGACGCTGTCAAGTCTCTTCTCCGTTTTGGGGAAGAAAGTGCATTCCGCCATGCGCTCACTTTCCACCTCAGGTCTGAGATCGTGCAGTCTGAGGGATTCCATCCATGCGAACACAGCGCCTGCTTCTTCAGGTCATCGAAGGCAGCTTCGTGGTCACGACGACTCGCTGTTTCCAGATCTTGCCAAAACAAGGGTAAGGTGTGTGTCAGTGCACTGACAGTACCCTGCGGAAGATGACGTGTAAATCTCGAGTAAGGTGGATACTGAAATGATCAGCTTCGTCGTACTTGGCGAGCACCTTCTCCTGAAATTTGGCAGCATCCACCGGTTCATCCTTCTTCAGCAGCTCTCCCCGCACCTTCTCTTCCTGCAGCTTCTTCTTCTTCTGCTCCTCGACCTTCGGACAGAAGCAGAGGTTCAGACGAGACTAGAGATCACATGTCCTATCTCCTTACCCTCAACACCTTGTTGAGGCTGTTCTTGTGGATCGAGGTGGGAACTGGCTGAGCCTATGACTGGCTGGCTGCAGGAAATGGACGTGCGGACACAAAGAAGGCTAGGCCTTGACTTGGCGGCTGATCACGTCTGGTTCCGGGATCAGTCGAGGCCTGTGCCCGCAATTCGCTGAAATTTATGGCTTGCGTCACGGGGGACACCGTTTCATCAGCCAACTAGCACCAACCAGTATCTCAACAGTAACATGCCCATACACTTCTTAGTTTCTGTGTTTGGCCACCACGAGGGTCTGCAAAAGTGCGCCTTCTCGTGTAATTTAAGGCGATCATGCTAACAAAAACATTGCTGTTCCGAGGCGGCAACAAAGCAGCCTTTAAAGGCATTAGTAACCATTAATCAAGCCTTTAAACGCATTAGTAACCACTAGTACCTCAGCAATCTTGAAGCGTTTTGGTTATGGGGTCTCCTGCTTACACGAAACTCATGGATTCGATTCGAGCACCGATGTGGCAAGTGATTGTTTTCTTCTCATGCTCTTTGGATATGCCACTTCTGAACCTTCTGCGACAGTAGGTGTTGGTTTTCCGGTCGTGCCAAACATGCGGCAGAGCATGGTAAGGTTTTGCCAACAAACTTCTTGCATGGCTTCGTTGCCAGCAGATCCAACCCTTTTTGGCTAAATTGGATTTTGAAAGCCAGCCCAGTTCGGCGAGGTCTAGCATATCTTGGAAGACAAGGACTGCTCTACATTTTGCTGAAACCACTCGGTATGAACATGCCAGCCCTCTGTGCAAAGGAGCCATTTCCGACTTGAAGGGTTTCGGAACTGCATCAGATGTGAATAGTGTTGTTGCAGAGCAATTTATGCATCTACAGCTACAGCTACTGCTTTTTGTTCTTTGGCTGCGATCCAAACCCTGGCTTGCAGCCAACCCTCTGCAAAAATGGGCACATCATCCACCCCGGGTAGCCGTAGCTAAGAAGCAAACCTCGGATCTACAAGTCCGCAACATAATCCTGTATGGACATATCAGACGGTCTGCCTTGGCAAATCAAGGGAAATCGAAGCACTGTTTTTTGATGCTGGGGGTGGGAATAGGCGCCAGTTCAGCTTTCGTGTCTTAGAGGTTCCGGTCTCATGAACTTCCTGATGACGTGCTTCTTTCTCCGTCAGTCTTGCGCAATCCGCATGCCACCAGCAGGAGCAAGCCGAAGCCGCCGCCACAATCGCCGAAGCCTCCATGTATCGGCAGAAACGGCCCCAGTTCGCGGCCAACCTGCAGCTCACTACACGAAGAGACACAGAAACGAAGAAAACTACCACTAACTACGAGTATCTTTCTTAACAAGCTGTGTAAATACAATTCTTCGCGGAGAGTCCAGAGAACAATGGCCGGGTCTGCAGCCACAAGCTCCAACCTCTCAAAGCCCAGCGTTTCTCCTCCAAACGCCGCATTCGAAGGGGTCTGGCCGTGCTTGGAGGGAAGTCCGACCATGCAGAACAGGTCAGCCCTGCAACCGGTCCGGAGTTCGCAACAAGATGAGCATGAGATTGGATGTTGAACGAGATTCTGCAGTTCCGCAACTCCCTGTGCCTAGCACGCATCAGCCAAGGAGCAAGAGGTTTGCCTTGACCGCGAAGTGGACCGGAAAGATGGCCTAATGCCGCCAAAAGACGACCAGTCTCTCAGGATTCTCAGGTACGTTTCTACTGATTCTAGTGGAAGCTGCAGAACGTAAGAGCAAGCCCGGCAAATGCCAAAGGAATGCTGGGCGGCTACATTGTGTTCGCCCCCAAACATGCAGGTACCCTCATGAACAAACACACGGATCTATGTCTGATTGAACACCCCCAACGGTGGGATGGCTGTCGTTGGGCTCTCATTATAGGGCACCAGAAAAGTTGACAGAGCTGTAGATGGGTTGTGGCATTGAACACAAGAATTACCGGCCGAATTCGTTAAGAGGCCTCGTAAAATGCATGTGGTCTGCGCAAATCTCCGAGAGCTCAAATTGAGTAGAATCAACACAACTTAAAGCATGTTCGCGTGTGGGGACGGCATTGAACTGCAGTTTTGCCGAAACTAAGGCCGAATGTGTTTAGCAGACCTTGGAGAATGCATTTGGGTTTGGTCGGTGGCTAGCAGAGCTCAATTAAAGCCTCGGGATGAACGAAACACGAGGCTTCAATCCGGGTCTGTCGTTGCCTGTCAATGGTGGCTGCTTGCTACTTTCAGAGCCACTGGCTGAATGCCTCTAAGCGGCCTTGAGGGACGGGCTCTGCGCATGAAGGGCTGGCTTCGAATTCACCTCGAGGATCCATACGCTGCCCAGATCATCGATCAGAAGGTCGAAGGCCAAAAGGCTGTAACCTCACTTGGTGCGGTGAAACGCTTTTCTTCAGCCCGCCTGCAGGGAGCGAGGGAGCTGCAAGTCACAGAAAGGCCAGTCACGACGGAAGCAACAGTCATGCTTCGTTCTCTCCTGCAGGCTGAGTGCCCCACATCGAACCTTGGACTGTGCATCGCACTCGCATGGGCCCCGCTTACGAGTCTTCGGGAACTATCAACAAACAGCGTTGCTTCTCTGTCAGGCAACGGATGCCATGTCTCTGCCCTTGGCCGCAGCAAGAGCTGCCGGCTGCCACATTGTTAATGAATCACGGACAGTTCTGAGGATGCGCTTCCAGAGAGTCTCTCGATGATGTTCATGGCCAATCGAGTCCCACAGCTGCTGCAAAGTCAAGTTTCGACCACTCGCATGTCGACTGGCCTTCGTCTGCACAGCATTGTTGCTTACGTGCGCGCTCAGGTCCTGAAAAGTAATCCTGTCGTACGTCGCACCACAAATTCGCACAAGGCCTTCCCGGAACACAAACGCCTCAAGTGGCTGCAAACTCGTCACCATCGCATAGACTCTGACATCAATTTTTCGGCCCTCCACCAGCAACGGATTCGGGATGTAGCGTGAGACGACACATGAGCCCAAGGGACCGAAGGCGTCCCCACTGCTCTGCCACAGGTTTGCGAGGTCAGTGCTCCTCCAAATCTGAATGTGCCGCCCTTCCCCGAGCTGGCAAGGCTTCGAGATCCAAAGCGCCTCTTTCATGTCGCTGCACTCTGAAGCCAATTGCGGCCACTCATGCGGCAAGATATAAGTTGAGGGACAGAAAGGCAATCCTCTCAACAGTCTGGCCATACGGTCCTTGCTGCACAACTCGTACTCACCTGGCCAGTGGTTGATCGTGCACCCCGGACGAAGCTTTGAAAGGAGACTTACAGAAGGAAAAGCGTTGGACAGGAGGAGGTCAGCATGTTCGGGTCGGTCCACCGTCAGAAAACCGCCTGTGGCCAGGGTACGGACAAGCAGTGAGACAGATCCCCTGCCCACTTTGCGGTCCTCCATCTTGTGCAAGAAAACCTTCGGAGCAGCTTCTGCTGCCTCACACGATTCTAGAGGTCCATCCCGGACATCCAGAATCCCGTCGATGGAATGCAAATGAGTACAGCTGCTGCCGAACGGACAGCCACCCTCCATTGAAAAGCGCTTGCAAGGGGGGCGCTCGGGCATTGGAGGTCGGAAGCGTTGCTTCGTTTCCTGCTGAAGCATGGCTTCCACCGCTTGCCATTTCGTCTGAGATCCCGCCAAAGATCTGCGGAAGATCTGGACATCTGTCGAAGGTCCTTCTGGTTGCCCCTCCATCTTGAGCCCGAGGCACTGCGGAGATCAGTGAAAAGCTAGAAACCCAAGCTGCCGCAAAGTCCAAACATGCTCGTTCTTAGTCTTGCCTGCCCCTGCTGTCCAACAACTTGGCAGAAACTTCTCCGTGCTTCTGATCTAACTCTGAACTGAAATCTTTTCAGAACCCCAGCAGGGGTGAGAGCCTTGGCCGCGTGAGGTTGAAGGGTTTGAACTCCTCAGAGGCATCCAGAGGCACACCCAAAACATCAAATGTAAGACTTGCGCCGCCTACAGCACCTCTGTCACTTGGAGCGTCTTGCAGTCATGCTGCGGTCAGCTTCTTCTCACTCTTTGCAATCAGGGCAGTGCCATCGGCTGCCTTTCAAGATGCAAGGTATGCTTGAAGGTCTTTCTAGAAGTGCCAGCCGCAGCACGCGGGTCGCCTTCACAGTGCCCGTCGCCCGAAACTCCACCTTCACGTATGCCACGTCGGCTACAACAAGAGGCCTCGGTGAAGGGGGCCTCGTCGCTCGTCGTCTGGAGCTCATCCTTGAAGCTTTGCAGCTTGCCGATGATGTCCTGATCGCATGTGTCAAGCTCCGGATCTCGCCGAGGAACACTCAAACCAACAACTGCTTGCCGAACACACAGGCATGCCCGTCCTGCTCGACGTAATCGACATCATAGAACTTGCACCACTCTACCTGCAAAGTCAGCACACTCGTGGCTCTACCAGGGAACTGCAACGCGGCCTTGACCCATTTCTCGAGCTCCTGAGGGGCAGAACAAAGATTGAGGTTTCTGCTGCCTTCGCAGAAGCTGATCTTGTATCGATTTCGCAAAAACACGGAGGACGGTAGCACAGGCACCATGGCTTTCGTTGCAAGTCAGCCCCCTGTGCCAAGCTCGGCACCTCGACACTCAAGGCATACCTTGGCAACACACTCACATCCACCCTGCACTGGTAATTGCATGTACCGCTTTTCTTTTCTATGGGCACGATTTGATGTGCTACTTAGTTGAATGACTGTTTCAAGGGCTATGACTATGAGGTATTCCTGATTGAATGAGTGATTGATTGATTGGTTGATCGGTTGACTGGTTGATTGGTTGACTGATTGATTGGTTGACTGATTGATTGACTCGGACTGATTGATTGACTGATTGACTGACTGACTGACTGACTGACTGACTGACGGACGGGTTGATTGCTTGATCGTCATGCTCCAGCTATGGCCAGTCCTATGAGACAGCTTTGTGGAAAGCTGAACTTACAAAGCGATGCAAACAGAAAGTAAAAGCAAATACACCACTTTCCGTAGCACGTACAGCGCAGTCTCGCCCAGTTGGTCCCATGATTTGTCACTCGTTTACGTTCGATGCGAAATATTGAGTCACCATGTCGGTTTATCTTGGCTCTGTGTGCAGACATTCATGCTTCCGACCAATGCTGGGCCGGCAAGCCCAAAATGCAAGTTGAAGAACTTGCTTACCATGCATATATACATACATACGTAGTGACGTACATCCATACATGCATGCAGTATAATGCTTTCAATCAGAAAGCTGGGGTGGATCATGGGGGTGAGCATATTATGTTGTGTGTGTGTCTAGATGCATAGACACGCATACATACACATGCACAACACACACACACACACACGTGCATATTGTCAAATTGCACCGCATTTGTACGTACAACATGTACGAAACTAAATGTGCACATACACACCAGCGTATGCCTTCATTTCTCCATTGAAAGCAAGACACTGCATCAGGGCATTGATCGCTGGTGCAGCACCGTAACCACAAAGTAGAAACTGGCGAAGCTCCGGAACAGTGAGCCTTGGAGATGACAGAAAAAACGAAGATGATCGAAGAGCTCCCTGAAGCCGCACAAGGCCCGCCGACAGGTGGGATGTGAGCTCCTCGCTCTTCGAGCCGGAAGAACAACAGGTAGGCGAGCACCAAATAGATGTCTGTCAAGTGAGCTGTTTTTTTCTTGGCTCAAAACCCCAGACACAAAAGCGACAACCCAGAGCCAGCAGGGCTCTGTTCGGCTCGCAAGGCCGCAGCGGGGCACTTGTACATGAAGCTCGTGATCTCGAGACGTTTTTTCCCGTTCTCTCAGGATCACTCTGCAGCTTCTTGAGGCTGCCGCAAAAAGCTTGAGGAATTTGTGGTAGCGCATACAGCCATAGAAGACCTGCCAGGGCCATGCAGGCGATGCAATAACGAAAACGCGATCTTGATCCAATCTACAGGCTGCCAAATTCCGGAACAAGCTCCTAGCCAACGACGCGTTAGCCAAAAATCCTTCTGACAACGCAGCGGCCCTTTTGGTCGTAGCGCGAACTGTGCCCTGCAGAGCACATCGCCCGAAGACTCGGTGCCGGTGCCGGGGTACGCACTTCTGCGCCCGCCCCAGGGGGCGGCTCTGGGTGGGCCGAGCATGGCCGAGCCCTGGTCGTTTTGATCTCCGACCAGCAGGGCCGCCACCACCCTCTCTCTCCCTCCTTCCCGACCAAACGATCCCTATCAAACGTGGCGATGAAGATCAGATATGACCTTCCGTCTGGACGCCCGCGTCGTTGAAGCCAAAGCGAACGACGTGAGATGCCGCCCCAGACGCAGCCGAAGTTGGAGCCGACGGCTCGATCTCGGCCATGTCGCCCGACGTGTGCTGCATGGCGCCTGTCCCAGTCGCAACCTCCGGCGAAGTTGTAGTATGTCATCGCGACCGCAAAGCGAAGGCGGCGGCGACGGCATCAGGCGCGGGCGAGCCGCGGGAAGCCATCACATCGACGGGAGGTGATGGGAAGAGGGAATTCGAAAAGCACAAGTCGAGTCGCAACGGTCGATCGCCCGAGCTTGTTCCTACACGCAGGAATGCATTGCACAGCAATGCTTTATAATATGCTGTTGCTTACGTAGGGAATCAACAAGAACGCCGTAAGAGCATCAGTGAGTTTGCATCGCTTAAGCCATTATGACTTTGGTCGTAGTATAGTTTACCTCTTGAAAGCAGCCCTCCGGCGGAACGTCAAAGAGCAAGTTCCACCAAAAGAACATGACTTGAGTTTTGCTGACAACCGGCATAGACTGTTCTTTGAATAGTCCTCTCGTCCCTGGTTTCCCTCTTCTTAATCGCTCCTGGCTTGCTTCTTCCGTCCCTGCATTGGCATCTGTTTCAGTCGCCGGACAACCCCTGCTTTGGGCCTGGTGTATGAACTTGAGCTCCGTGTCCCCCAGCTTCTTGTCCTTGAGAAACGGCGCATCCTGGTGCAAGATATTGCACGAATAACTATAGCAAAGATGCGCTCTGAAATGCAGGTACCTCCATGTATGCATCGATAGTTGTCTTCTTCGGGTCATAAGTTTCTACGACCTGCAGTGCCGCAACCGTCTCTGAGAAAACAATGGAGCTGCAGTCATCACATGCCTTGACGCATTTCTTCAGCAAGAATGCGTAGTGTTCGCCTGCGTGGGCAGATGTGGGCAGCTCTTCCTACTCGTTGGCACCAGACACAGAGTCTTGCCGGTTGCACCTGGATCTGCGGCATCTTTGGACATCTCCTGTCTACCAGGGCTCTCTCTATCTTTGAATGACTTGGCCAAAGGCCCCAAAGGCCCCAAAGGCCCCAAAGGCCCCAAAGGCCCCGAAGGCCCCGAAAGGCCCCGAAAGGCCTCGAGGCCGTTAGATGATGCCAGCGGGCAGAGCCATGGCTCGCAGCGCTCCGCTGCTCTGCCCTGGGCCCTGTCAGTATGACTCGGTATGCTGTGTCTCTGTGCTCTTTGCCCAGACTAGTTCCTCGGTCTCCCTGTCCCGTGGATCACTGGTTTGTCTTCGCTTTCCTCTCTTCTAGTTCGAGATGAATGGCTCAAATCTGATTTGAGCCTCGGAATATTGCACATCAAGCCGCTCGCCGCAGGAAGAGTTGTAAAGACATGCAGCTGCACACAGCTGATTTGACGTCGAAGGCACCTGCTCGCCTATGGCGTCAGGGACGGCGATGCACCACACTAAGCTTGCAGCTTCCTGGCAAGGCTGCTAAGCACTAGGTGCCATCGTTGCTGCCGTCACCCCTTTGCGTCACCTGCGACGGGTGTGGATCGCGGCTGGCCAGGCCGGTGGCCACGGCCGAGCCCACCGGGGTCAAGCTCCTGTTACTGTAGCGAAACATCACCAAGCTACAAAAGTAATCCTACCGGAATCAACATGTCTCGTCCTGGCAGCCGCCGTCGCGAAATCCTACGTTCAAGGTGACAGTTGCTGCTTTCTGTGCAGCACGCTACTGCCATCGGCAGCCTGAAGCGTGTGCGCATGGTCTCGCGGTGTGGGTCCTCTTGACTTGGCCTCAACTGCCGAGCATGAGGCGGGATTGCAGGGACAGAAGAAGCCGAGGAATGGACGACGACCACCTTGGCAACGGCATCCTTGACGCAGCGGTCTTTTTCTTCAACATGCAAGCCACATTAAACCACCGTGTGTCAGCTCCCTGCAGACAACTTTCTCTTCCTGTCACACCAGCCAACACAGTACGACTTCTCTCAGGCTTATCGATGCATCGCTGAACCTGGCAGACAGCGTGCCCCACCACTGAGCCGCATTTGCAAGCGCCTGCAGACGGAATATTCTGGGACACCGAGGACCCTTCAGAAACTTGGGTTTGGCAAGCCGGCCTGTGGTGTGAGTTCGAACAGCTTTGAAGCAGACTTCGCGCTGAGAACCTTGAGCAGCTGATGGCCACAGTGTCCTCCCGACGATGTCAGCAGCATGTCTCGGACAGAGTATAGCGACCATTGTGTCGTACAGGGCAACCAGGAATACAAAGCAACTTCAGCTGTGAGCAGTCCAACTCCGATCACTTGGAAGCATGTGTGTTTTCCGAAGCTGCAACAATCAACAGGCACAGCAGCAAACATTCTCCCGCCTGGTACAGCAATTGACCGTCCCGCATTTGCTGAGGCCTCTTCGCCGCGTGGTCACCATGCACAGCACGGCACAGCAGGGCACTGCAGAGCTCTTGCAGCTATGCCTGCGGTGCAAGCTTTTCAGCCCTGGCACCTACCAGCGCTGGTATGTTCAGCATGTGGTGCGGCTGGCGAATTTAGCCGGCATGCCTCTTCCTGCAACCACCTCCAATAGAGACTGGTCTTTGGTGGCCGCAGTCGCGGACGCCTGGAAAAATCCCTCTGCCAGCAGTACAGATAGTATAGACCATCTCGACTAAGCCGTCCTGCAAGATGTTGGAGAGGTCTTGCGAATTGAGGTTGACCCGGCTGTCCTTCACCGCCCCGACCACCTGCACACAACTACGGAAGAAGCCGAGTGACATCTGCGTGCAACTGTAGACAAGCAACGTCAAAGCGTGAAAAATGTTGATTCTGGCCTACAGCTTCCACTGCCAAACGTGGCATCGTGAAACCCTGATAACGGTTAACGCTGGAAGCCAGCTTCGTGACCCGCAAGGACGGCATGCATGTCAAAGTCAAAGCAAGTCGGAAGCAGCTCGGCTTGTGAAGCTCGGCTTCTCAAGCACACTGCGAGCTTTCTCCCCTCCACCTCCTCCATGAAGTGAGCAGCTTCGTACTGCAGCTTCCTGAGGTCCCGGGCCTGAGTCTCCCATGTGCTTTCTTGTTGAGGAAGTGTCACACAGAGCTCCGGACTATGCTGGCAGAAGCCTGCGGCTGCAACGCCGCTTTCTAAGCTTGTTGGGCTGTTGCCTCTGAGCAACAATGGACCGACTTTGCTTTCTTTTCTCGTGGACTCACAGACAGACCTCCAGCATCTCGGTATTCTTGAGTCGCGGAGCACTGCTTCTCCGTGCAAGGTTCGAAGGATCCTGCAATTATTCTTGCATCCGAGAGCACAGGACTATGCTTGCAAAGCAAACGTAAACAAACCTTTTGGCAACCATTCAGTGGAGACTGCTGTCCAGGGCGGCTCTTTGGAAAAGCCTACAATGACAGCAGCATTCGTTAACACTCCTGGCAAGGCAAGTCGTCTGCCTTGCGCTCTTGTACATTAAATGACCTTGCACTGTAGGTCAGGCGTCAGAGTCTTACATCTTTCCACCTGCAGGCTTCCAGAAGCGAATCTGAGTGAAGCATGGAGGACGCTGCAGGGCCTTTACGGAAACGCTCCAGAGCCTAGGTTTACGTGACATGCAAACCAGAGCCGGCATTCAAAGGATCGTGCAGTGCCAACCAAGGCAGGATCCCGAAGTTCGAAGTCATCTTGTAGTTCGCCACCCCTTAGAACTCCAAGCATGTGAAACCTCCTGCCATGCGCCGCTGAATTCTGCCGTGCTGCTTGCGAGGACGCTTTGTTTCTCTCGCGTCGGGTATGCTGCTTGGCCGCTCTTTCCTGCACCGAACGGCATCTGCGGTCACCTGCGCCCTGCGAGCCGCAAGCAGACGACTGGCCTCGTTCTCGCCGCCTTTCGTTCTTCGGCGGCCACGGTCTGATGAAAGCGCATGGTGCACAAGCGAGAAGTTCTTAAACGGAACGGCAGTTGCACCTTCATCCTCTGTTGAAACTCCTTTCTCTTTGCTTTGGCCTGTGAACACGGAAGGCTCACACCAAGCAGCAATTGCAGCAAGACGTCGAGTGCTTTCATCGAAGGATGGCACTGACAGCTCGAAGGCAGTGAGGTAAGATGTATGACTTCATCCCTGCGGCGGTAGAGGCGGCCCGCTAGCATCCGGACCGCAAAACCACCACATCACAACAAGCTTTGGTGACGTTCACAACCCATGTCAGTGTCAGCATGTTGTCTGGATTCTGTGATTTCGGGGGGTTCTCAAGTTCTCCAGGCAAAACGGTCAAAAGCCCTGGTGCCCCAACTACTGAAGACGGAAGCCAGCGGGACAGCAATCAAATCCTTCGTTTCAGAGGTTTCAGCTGAAAACCGCGTTCAAGATACACAGGACTCCAGCAGCTTTCCCTGACCAAAAGCACAGACGCAAGCCCTTGATTTCGGAAGGTTTGTCTTCTAAACCTTTCTGCCATTAATGTAGGGGTGACACTAATAAACAGGGTGACAATTAAAATATTCCCTGGCCCAGACTTTCCCGGCGGAAGACTACTTTAGATTGCGCGCCCAGATCCGGCCAAACAATTGATGTTGGGATTCCGGCTATATAAAAAAATCGCGGCAAGCGTATCCCTTACGAGCCCTGCTCATCACTATAATAAACGGGTGACAATAAAATACTCCGACGAGGCGGGCTTGCTTTCTTCAGAAGGCTATTTAGAAAGCAAGAGCTGATGGGCCTCAAGCCCGAGTTTTGAGAAGGTTTTGGCATGAAGCCAGACTACTATGACTATTACTACTATTACGAGTATTACTACTATTACTACTATTACTACTATTATTAGTACCACTTTTACTATTGCTACTACATGTATTACTACAGACCACGGCCAGAGGTTTATTATTGCAACCCCCAACCCAGCGACCGCCCCAAGAGATCCTGGAGAGGGGTGGAGGTCTTTTTTGTACAACCCCAACATTCGCGAATCATGATCGCGATCTCGGTGTCCTTGGGCCGAGTGCACAGTGGCTAATGCTTGACTTCAGCCTGGTTTTGAAGCTTCCGCGTCAAGATTCAAACTCCAGAGATCTCCAGAGCTTCCCGAGTAAGCCGTCTCGTCGAGACAGCCGAGTCGCGCCTCGCTGCGCTCTGCAGCTGCAGCCTTAAGTGCCTCGAAGGGCTACGGGCTCGGCTAAGTGGGGAAAAGTCGAAGCGTTGAATAGCCGAGGCTTAGCCGAGTGTTGCAATGGGGCCCAGGCCCGACGCTTCTCTCGCTGACGGGCTCCGCGGCCCCTCTTTGTGGCGCCGTTCTCGGCTTTCTCTGCTTTCCGCCTCTCCGACACAGGCTCCGCAAAGGCGGTCCTAATCTGCGGGCTCTTTCTGCATGCGGGCTGCCCGCCTCTTCCTGCTTGCCTTGGCTTTGGCGCTCGCCGCGCCGTTCGTCGCGGAAACATCCGCTTCTGGGCCGCTCGAACCTGACGAAAGCAAGAGCAGACCGCAGAAACCCACCGCCTCTGCCTTTGTGGCCTGGCCTAGCGGCCTAGACGTAAAACGTCAGCGTCTATGGCGAGGCCCCGCATTCCATGAGCACTCGAAGTACTAGAGTGCATCATGAGTACATCGCAGCGAAAGCAGGGAACCGCACAGAGTGTGAAATCGACGCGGAACTGCACTTAGCCCGAGGTCCCGCTGGCAGAAATCGGAGCTGCACCAGCAAACAGCCCGACACACATGCTGACCATCACAACTGTCAGGAACAATGTCGATTGCTTCGTTTGTTGGTCCACAGGCTTGTCAGGTGGCACTGTCGCTGACGAAAACTATGGGATCATGCAAGCACCACGGGGAAGCTTTCAGAAACAGTGCGGCCTTTCTTTTTGAGCTTTTCCTCGTATCTCCTAGGTGATTCACATCTGCAGTCTTGGGACGGAGATCTGGCTCCTAGCTCACGTACGAACGCAAAACTCGCTCAAGAACAACAAATGGACACGCTGAACAAAACCCACAACTGATAAGTTTCTGCTGGGGGTCTGCCGCAGCTCTTCCTGCATTCGGAGCCTGAGCACATCCGACGGACAGCAACGTCACCACCGGGCTCCGAAGATCACAGCCAGGCCCAAGATATCCCAAGATTATCAACCTGAGTAATGCGCTTTCGCTTGTCTTCGACGGCGAACTCGACAATTGGCCGACGGTTGCCTCCGAAGACTGTCCTTGGCACTGCTAGGGGCGCAGGGAGAAGAAGCTATGTCCGCTGCCAAGTCAGCAGCGGGTTGTCATTGAGGAACTCCAAAGCCTTCATGGCTGAGTCGTGGTCCTGTCAGTTGGCTCAACAAGACGACCGCCTCTGCGATACTCCGTTCTGACTTGGGGAAGTCCCTTTCGCCTTGAAGGTCACGAAGCCGTAGCCCTTGGAGCGGCGCTCGCCCGCCTCACTCCGGCGCTCGTCGTCCCGCACCATGCTGGCCTGGCGGTGCCGCATGGAGCCTCTGCTGAGTCTCGCCCTCTGCCCTCACCTTCACAATCGCTTGCTGGGCGGCTTTCAGGCGCCCCTTCCTTCCACCCTGCAACCGTGGAAGTGAGCAGGATCAGAAGAGTTTCAGGGTGAAGTGCTCAGGCAAACACCGCATCCGCGCTGCTCGGGCTGTGTGCCAGATGCCTGGGAACCATTAAAAAGTTTGTTCCGGCAGCTCGCCCTTTGTAACTTCAGCCCAGTGGCTTCACTATCGCTTCCCGCAGCTTGTTGGCATCCACAAAGGTGGGCAAGTTGCGAATCTTGGCCGTGCGATGGCTGAAGGCCGAGAGACAACAAGCACTCAGGCCCCCGGCACTTATGCGCTGAGGATGGATCGCGAAGTTCGAATTGTTAATTCGCCTGCAAAGTTCTGTCGAGAGCCTGTCGAAGGCCTGTGAGTGCTGGAATGCCATCTCGCTAAGCCGCCGACCACTTCCTCTCCTTCTGCCCCTCTATCCGTTGGCGCTGCTCAGACCTCACACCATCACAGGATGAACGCTCACAAAAGCCTCCCGGCGTCAAGTCCCGAAAAGATTGGTGCTCGGAACAAGCAGTCGGCTTGGACAGATTGTCCCAGCGAGGTGAAGTCCTGCATGGGGGCCGTCAACACTACGCACAAAACCGGTGATGGCTCTCAACCGTGCCAGGCGGGCTCTGGGATGTCTCCGACCTTTGGAACAATCGCAGCTCTGCAACTGCTGTTAAGCACCAGAAATGGAATAGGTTCAGCGAGGTCACGTTAAGCAAGTGCATCCACGTCCGGCGCTCCTGACAAAGTATCAAAGCTGCTGAGCGGGCGTCTTGGCCCGAAGATGCCCGAAGGGGCCGCCGAAGGTGCTGCCTTGGAAGCCTGTCCCTTCATCTTCGTCTTGTCACTTAGCTCTGAAGCCTCACGCGGCTCGCGGATGCTCGCGCCCCTCGCACCTGCGGTTGCAGTTGCAGGCCTCCTGTGGCTTCACAGCCGGCTTCAGAACCAGACGGCGCCCCTTCACCCATGTCAGCAAAGAACCGTCAAGCACTTCCGTACAGCGTGACAGTCTCGGCGGCCTTTAAGCTGATGCCAAAACCTTCCACCTCAGAGAAAGGAAGCTACAGCTGCACAATGACATAGAAATCCGAGATAATCCGAGGCGGCAGCTGCGGGGAGCTCGCGCTGGTCGCTGCGTCGCACCACCGAGGAAAGCTCCTCCAAAAAGACGTCGCACGCGGGTCGGCGGGTCCCGGCGGGTCGCTGCCGAGCTGAGTCTCAATTCCGCGAAAGCGCCTTGAGCTTCCTCTCGGCCTCCTCTTCAGCTGCCAGCGCCGCCTGCGCAGCGGTCGCCTCCAAGACTTGCTGGCAATCTGGCTAAACGACCTGTAAAACGACTTGTAAACGGAGAGACCTGACGAGAGCTGGCGGGCTGCGGATGTGATTTCTTCGCAAAACGTAAAGTTCGTTAACTGCGCAAGCCTGGAGTCTGCTGCAAAACCGTCGCTCGTTGCGAGGCCAGTATGTCGTATTGACAGTATTGACATCTCGCACTCGCAGACAAAATGCCTGCCAGACACATCTGGATGCAAAGCCAAGTGATGCTCAAGGCTGCTGAAATCTTTGATCTGAAGCGACTGGCGGCTCTGTCTAGAAGGCACAGAAGAATCCTCCCATGCTTGTAGTTGTTGACGGGAACTACCATTTTCAGCATCCTTGCTTTACACGTAAACATACACTTTGCTACGACTGGCAGCCTGGTCTGGGGAAGTCATTATTCCCTCGGTGGAAGCAATCGGCATTGTCGAAAAACTTGACTCTGCCATGCCTCCACGTGTGCCAAGCTGAATGTGCCCTTGCACATTCAGCCGAACTACGTTAAAAGCTGGACAATGCTTGCGCCGGGGATGATGAACAACATCATTCACCATTGAACATGCCTTGCATCATCTCCTCGGCTTCGGTGAATGCTATAAATGGCGTGCATGTCGGGAGGTCGACTAAATGTGTTGACTGCGGCATCCCCGCAGGGGTAGGCTTTTGCCAAAACGTCCGCAGAACAGATAAGTGGACTCTGAACTGAGAGTGTGCAGAGCTCTTGTGAGGCAAGCGCGGGCCCTAGCTGCACCCATGCCCCATAAAGCACAGAGGTGCACACAGATTCTTGAAAGTGGAGTGAACATGCAGAGGTGCTTTCGGAGATACGATCCTGCGATGCTCAATCCGATTTTCGTCTTTGCAATGCTTCCAGCACCCAACGCAAAAACCAATGAGTCGCAGTCAAGGTGAACATTTCTGCTACCCTGACTTCCATGACCATCCAAAGGGTCACTCGACGGCATTTGTCCGTAGATTGAAGCTGACTCTTGCATTTTGGGACAATTGCGCTTCTTGCGAACTCGAAAATGCGTGCCGTTGAATTGCCAGGGCCCAAGAAGCCGCTGGGGCGTCCGTACACGAAACTGGTTGAAACCTTCTGTGGCGCGTGGTGGAAGAAGTGGAGTGCTGCGCGGGCAAGCCTGTACCCTGTACCTGGCAGCTAGTAATTACTTAGGAATCCCACAAAGCTGAAGATGCGTCGGCGCACTTTCACTGACGCGGCTCTCTGAGCTCTGGCCGCCGACCCGCGAGGATCCAGCCTAACAGCCGGGTCTTGGTTACATCGTCGTGCTTCATTGGTTCATGCAGGCAGGGGCGCCCTTCCGACGTGGAAGACGTATAGGTTTCCTCAGCTTGCCGTGATCAGGTCTCATCGACCCACTTCAAACAAAGCAAGAACTCGAAGTTTGCGGCGGAGGATCGTTGGAGCAGGAAAGCTGACCGGCTGCCCATCGCTGAAGACCAGCGGTCTGCACATCTCAGGGACCTGCATCAAGGCGCCAAGGCAGGCGCCAAGGCAGACGCAGGCGCAGGCAGCAGCTCCCTCCCGGCTCCCTAAACCCTGCAACAGCGGACCTGGCTCGACATCACTGGGCTGTTCCTGCAGTCTGGGCTTTGCCAGCGAAAGACAGCTGCGACCCGCCCCGGTCCTGTATCGCTCAACGTGCGCAGCGTAACCCTGCAAAGGATGGCCCCAGTGGGCCTTTCAGATCAAGAGTACTCAAGCAGCATGAAAGTCGCATGTCTAATGTTGCACTCTCCAAGCCTCGCAGGGTGCTGTTTCGCTCTCCTTTAGAGGAGGGCAGTCTCATGGCACAAGGCTCCTGCATCGTTTGCCACCAAGCGTCAGTGCTGCGCCAGCCGACGAAACCGTCAAAGAGCTGCCTAGCCTCTGAACATCTGCGATATCTTCCATTCCATGGCAAGGTGCATCAAACCCTGAGGCCTTCGAAGCCTGGTCGTGGTTGACAAAGTTGACAAATGCATATCCGTAGATTGCGAAATTATCCTGGCATCAGGGACATCGCTTAAACAGTTGTCGCCAATATGCACAGAGAAGCCTTGAAGTCCCGGGGCAGGTAGAGGAAGTCATACATCCTCGAGTAGCCTGCTTGGAGCGAAGACGATAGCACCGTTGCAACATTGAAGGCAGCCGGTCCTAGACTGTCCAAGAGTTCCATCAGAGCCTCCCTGGTGGTGTCCTGATCAGTCCAGGTCCACAAGGCTTCAATGACACCGCGCCGTGATGTGGGAGACGGCTCCCTGGAATCAAGAGTCCTTCGGGATATTCCTCGGCTCCGACGGCTCAACTCTGGCGTCATGCTGGATATGCTGGGATCGTTTGAGCTCTTAAGCACCAGGCCGCAGCATGATCGTGGTGCGCTCCTCGTCCCTGATTGCCACCGGCTCTGTGGATCCTCACGGCACAGCGACGCAGCGGTAAGAAGCAGGCTGCACGTGGCACTGCACGTGGCGACTGCCATCATCTGCCTTGCGTGTCATCGCGTCGAACTTCCCCGGCCTCACAGACACGGAAGTGCACTTCGGGCAATTCGAGCACCGAAATTTCATTGTGTCGCCTCCAGCACCTTTGGCTGCGGCTCTTTCGGCCGAGCGGACCGCTTCTGAGAGCTTTGAGACTGACCGTGGCGAACATCACTGGCCTGCGGCGCAGTGTGCATTCCTCACAGAAGCATCGGAAACTTCAATTTGGACAGGGTGCCGCATTCCGTGGGCTGGTCGTCGCACTGCCTTGTCGCTGGCTGCCACCTAGTACTTCTGTCTTGTGGCAGGAGATTTTCAGCTCAACACCCGATTGCCTTGCTATCTGAATCGCAGCAAGGTCGCTGTCGTAGCTGGTGTCTGCCATGCTGGTTTCTGCTTGCATCATCTGATCGCCAGCTTCTGGAGCCAGATACCCCACGCAATAGTAGACCAGGGCAGGCGAAGCCTTGCTTCAACTACAAGTTGCCGAGACCGATAAAGGTCCAAGGTGAACTCAAAAAAGAAGATATTAACAGCAATGATGAGGTCTTCTCTCCCAAGTAGCCATCGCCTGCTGCGGTACGTATTGCAAACTCGGCATATGCTGCAGCTCAGCCGAAGCAGCCTAAGTGTCCGAGCCAATCTGTCTCTCCGTTTGTCCGTGTGTGTGTAGGTAGGTAGGCAGGCAGGTAGGCAGGCAGGTAGGCAGGCAGGTAGGCAGGCAGGCAGGCAGGTAGGTAGGTAGGTAGGTGTAGAGGTGTGCGAGTGTGTGCGAGTGTGTGCGAGTGTGTGCGAGTGTGTGCGAGTGCGGGAGAGTATGGGGGAGAGAAAGAGGGGCAGAGAGTGTGGGGGTGTTGGGGGTGTGGGGGTGGGCTTGCTTGCTTGGTTGCTTGCTTCTTTGTTTGTCTGTCTGCGTCTCTCTGTCTGTGTGCAAACCAGCTCTGGACAGAAACTTCTTTCATCCAAATGGCCGGCATCCAGGCAACTCCAGGGTAGCCTTGGCGACAGAATCTTCTACTCGTGGCATCATGCGCTCTCCTAACCTCCGACGATGCCGAGACGCATGGAAAGTAGGCGTTGCCCTGCCACTGCTCAGATGCGGCCTGCCAAATGGTAGAATAATACTTTCCAACGTCGTTGACTAAAGGAACCCAGCAATCCAGCAGCTCATGGCCTGCTCAGGTGAGGCAAGGTCGTGCTCGTAAGTGTTCACTCGCTGAAGAGTGTCCGGGGTTGCCGCATCAAGATCCTGTGCCGCACGAAGATGCACGGGAGCTGAAAGCTTCACATGGAAGGTTCATGTTGGGAATCTTTCGAAGGTCCTGGGTGCCAAAACCAATCTCCATGCCACCATGCGCTGGCGGACTCGGAGTCTGGCACTCCTGCAATCTCGCAGCCTACAAACCTGAATGCAGAAGGCAGCACCTGATCCAGAACCTCATGAAACAGGGTGGTCGAGTGCAAACCCAAAGACACGATTCCGCATTAATGCAACTTCTAGAGTAGCACTGCCTGCTCGTTGGGGGTGCAAGCTGTGCTGCTTCTTTAACCTCCTTTCCTTTGGCTTCGCCGTGCTGTCTCATCAGGATGTCTCATCGGGACAGAGCCGTGGCCTCGCACTCATGACGAGTACGGACCTGCCCGCTCTTGAGGCTGTTTGTTCCACAGCTTTCTGGCATGGCCCGGTCCTGAAGACCTAACATGTAGTCGTCTTTGTGCGCTTGCGGGCTGGCCAGAGGTGTGACCTTCGCAGCTCTGCGGTGCTGCCATCCACCACCAAAACCAACAAGAGAGGCTCGATGCATGCTACAAGGATGCTTCGTGCCTTGTCGTCATCGGATGCCTTGCGCTGACCCCGGAGGTACTCATACCTTGCATATCACCATATGCTTCCGGAGCTCCATGCCAGAGCAATCAGAGTGCATCCAAAGCGCTTCACGCAGAAATCCGAAGCTGAACGAGCCCTTCGCGCGGGCTGGAGGAGGTCGTCGTCCACCTCAAACAAGCTTCCAAAAGGTTTCTCATAGAGAGAATCCACTGTCGCTTGGATTGTCGAGCTGCGTTGTCCCACGCCACCATGCTGTAGTACGCTGCCGCAAGTCTTGAAACTCTGTGCTGATGTGGCGCTTGTCACGGGTCGTATATGTTCCGACACGGAAAATGAATCTACACATACTTCTTGGACAGATAACTACAATCAATATGGTGTTTTTCGCTTCGTAGGAAGTGGCTTGCTCTGATCAAGCTACAGGGTGTGAAGGCGGTGTTGGATTCAGATGGACTGGTGCAGTGCGGACGCCTCGCACCTGATCTGAACGCTTTCTTGGGCACTTGGCTGCGGGATCACTATCACGACAACGCAAGCCACGCAACTAAAAAAAACGAGCTTCAGCTGCTGCAGAAAGCAGCCTCGGCGAACTTGATGAACGCAGAGCCCCGATGGGCATTCTGGCCTGAAGAGGATGGGCACCGAACTCTTGGCCAGGACGATCGGCCCATGTCCGCTGTGCACTCTCCCCTCTCGCCTGTCTTGTCGGCCACCATCTTGATGGAGCCTCGCTGGGCAGGCGGCTCTTCTTCCGTCGCACGAAAACGGTCGCTTGGGGCGGAGGCTCACCCGGCCGAAGCGCCGGAAGACCTGAGACTCGGCAGCTCAAGCAGCTCAAGGCTCTTCTCCGAGATCTACTGAGCCGAGGCCTCTTTCAAGTCCCCCTCCTCTGCATCGAAAGGGACATTTCTGACGAAGATGGACAGCCTCGCACAGACTCTCATCTCAGAGAGCTGCTGGCATATGCTGGGAAACGGAGAGAGCACCCTTGCTCCACGTCGAAGCCAGGCTTTCTAGCTTTGGATGCCTGCGCCAACGTGCAAGAGCTCTTCGATGGCAAATGCCGAGTGGCGAACATGCTGGCCTTCGGCTTGTCCTTCTTGGGCTTGGATCCAGCAGCTTCGTCGTCTGGATCGTCCTCCTCCTCTTCCTCCTCGTCCTCTTGGTCATTATCTTCCTGCGATGCAATGCCGTCACTCAGAAGAGTTCATGCGCAAGCAAAACGGCCAAGCTCAAGGCCTCCACATCATCACCCAGCAGCTCTTTCATGCGCTTCAGTTCCTGGTCTGGGTCCGGATCCTGCGACGCGGGGATCATCGAAACGCACGTCGCCACGTCTCGGCACACCTCTCCCAGTGGGAGCGAAGAGCCCTTGGCTTTCTCCTGCAGAGCGAGTCCAGCCCCCGAATCGGGCGAGTTACGACATGCGTCCTTCGGCTTCTTGGGCGCTGGCGCCAACCTGATTAGAGTGGAAAGCCCCTACGAAGGTTCCGTGCCCGCTTCCCAGGACTTGGACGGCTCCGGCTCCGGCAGCGGCTCTTCGCCTGGGCGCTCTCCAGAGAGCGGGGAAGAAAGCGCCGGCAGGCCCACGCCCTGAGCCGGCCGCTCAGCTTGCTGAACCTTGCAAACTGAAAATCCAATCCTATCAGAGACGACAGAAGAGCATTGCAAGCCTCAGGTCCAAACACCGACGCATCAACTGCCCAGTCCACGGCCACGGCACGTCCACATATCCTGCAAAATGAGATGGAAGGCTTGTTCCAGACATGCCACCACCGCTCGGACTGACTCCTTGTGCCATTGAGGCTTGCAACGGCCTTTTCCGCTGCCGAAGCCTCAGCTTCTCGGGGCTCGGGGCGCGCTCAGGGGCGTTCGCACGCAACTCCTGCCTCGACATACTGCACGAACGCGAACCCGCGATGAGCCCCTATCTTGCCGTCCTCCAGAGTCTGTGACATGTAGCAGATGACGGGAGAGAAACATCCGCGACTGCCCTTTGTCCACCTCTCGTGCGAAACACCTTTTTCGGAAGCCATGGACACTTCCAGGCTACTTCCAGGCTGGAAACGCGCTTCACTGCAAATCCCCAGGTCGGCCATGCTCAGCACTGCAGATCGCGGAAGAGTCAGGGAAGAGTCACGAAAGTGTGGTCTGAGATCAGTTGCCAATGGCTGTGCCTCCGGTGCTCTGCATGATCAGCTCAGTCATTGCAGAAACGGATGGATAATCAAAAACGAGAGTAACAGGAAGTTGCACGCCAGGCAGGGCTTGAGAGATCTCCTCGGCTGCATACACATTTGAAGTCTTCACTGGACCCTCCCGACTGCCCGAATCTCCCCGAATCTCCCCGACTCGGAGTCCAAGCAGCATCGCGCATCAAGATGGCCTCGTGAAACCGTTCAGTGATGTTTAGGGCTCAGGGCACACGGGAAAGCGCGTGATGAAACCCTGCTTCTGAGGGGACGACAGAGTTGCTGGTTAGACCCGCTTCCATGAGGGGCGTATCCGCTTCGATCTCTCCATCATCGGCACCTGTGATTCTCAGCGCGATCTCCTTCACCTGGCTGGGCAACCAGGGCCCCCCAACACCTAGGCGCCTGCATAAGGTACATATGGTACATTGAGGTGCCTTAGGCCTACGGCTCCGCAGGCATTGAACCCCTGTGCCGGCTGCCGGCCTTGTTGGTGATCACGTCCAGGCTGAGACCTGCCTTAACATCAAGAGCAGGTCCTGCCGGCCCTCTTGCTGGAGCTTGCTTTGCAACGGCCTGGCGCCGGTTTACAACACAAACGCAACGTGCGCCGTTTGCATCAAGTTCACAGCATCACAATCAAAACAAGTCCGCAACACTGCTTCCGGTGGCGCATCTTGGCCTGCATGCCGGCACTCTCAAATACACACACAAGCGCAAACAAATGGAGGTGTTGAAACCGGAAGCATGGATTTCCACACAACCACAGTCAGGTGCTCCAAACCCCAATGCAAAAGCAGCCGGAAGAGCCCTGAATGTGCCACAAGGGGGTGGGTGGTCGCGGTAGTGCCTTGCTGCTGCAGCCATACAGGGATTTGTCCAGGAGCTGCACCCGCTTGCGTCGGAGGCGGTGGGACAAACTGTGGCGCCTGTTGTTGCATGTACTCCTGGAAAGTCGCTATCACTTCCAGGGCCAGGTTTTCACCTGCATCATCCTGAACATGCCGATACAGAGCCAATGCTTCGTCTGCTGCCTCGGCAGCCTCCCGGATCTGCTGTAGTGCTCTCAAGTTGTCACAGGAGAGCATCAGCGCATTCGCCTCCAGCTGGTAGCACAACAGATCCCTGTAGATCAACACGGCCTCATCTGCACATGCCAAAGCCTCTTCGAATCGAGCTTTCAATGTTAAGCCTTGAGCTCTCGCGCAGAGCAGTGATCCCATCAACTCTGGGGCGGTGGAAAGTGCAGTGTTCTTCGCCAGTTTGATACCAGCTTCGGCAAGCTTGATGCCCTTCTCCAAGGCATCCCGCGCTTGCCGGGGGATCGGCTCGTCGCCGAAGATCTTGGCTCCTTCCTTTACGGAGAGCCGTACTGCATTCTCAGAGATCATATACATGCAGGCGATCTCACCCTCGGTCTTTCCTAATTCTCTGTATAACGCCCTTCCCTTCTCAGCAAATCGGATCGCGCTTTTGAACTCGTTCTTCTTCCACGCAATTTCCGCTTGCATCTTCATGGAATCTGCCTCACCTGGCATAAGCCCCTCATCATTGAAGATGCTCTGAGCTTTGGTGTTGTAGCTGGCAGCTTGTTCGACGTTGCCTTTTTTGAACTCCAGTGTTGCAGAGATAAGAAGAGCATGTGCAAACGCGGCCATGTCTTCTTGCTGCTCGAAAATCTCTTTGAATTCCAGAGACAAGTCTAGAGCTTCATCTTTGTGGCCTCTGTGGTAGTTGGCTTCCACCAATATGTGCATCGCTTCGACTTTGTCCTCCGAAATCTTCGGAGTTGCAGTTAGCTTCTTCAACATTGCAAAGGCATCCTGCGCCACGGCGATACCTTTATCCAGCTGACCCATTCTCAAACGCGCACGCCCGACGACAAGCATCAGGGAGGCCTGTGCTGCGACATCACCAAGCTCTTTGCACACGGTGATACCGCGCTTGGCAGCCGTTAAGGCTTCCTCCACCCGGTTCGCCTTCACGTAGAGCTCCACGAGCATACGGACAGCATCGACCTGTGCTCGCTTGTTGTTCTGCTCCCGGAAACGGCGTAAGGCTTCGGCAGCCACTAGACGAGCTTTGCGCAAGTCATTCCGGGCTACATGAGCATCAAAGACTCTTCGCAGTGCCTCGCTAGGATAGGTCAGACGTGTCTCACGAACATGAGTAACATGAGAGATCATGAGAGTGCAGCACCAAGGCCAGCCTTGACCTCCTGAGAGGATTGCAGCATTTGGTAAATTTCCAGGGCATCCTCTGCATCGGAAAGAGCTCGGGCATGGTCTCCAAGCTTGATGTTCCACTCCGACATTCTCCTTATGGGAGTGCACTTCGCACGTTGTCAGGCTGGGGTCACTCGAATACTTACTCCTCACTGCACAGGAGCATGTACTAGTAGCGATGACCCGTTGCCGAGCGGCATAAGCACACGAGCTTCCATGCGCTTGTCCTTGGCTGCAATGAATGGAGGATCTGGTAGTTTGCTGAGTCAGGGTCCAGGTGCACTCCAAGTCTCTCGCAACTCTAGGTACAAGTCCATCGCTTCATCTGCTGCATCTAGTGCATCATCAGGCGATGACACTATGCCGCGAGCCTCTGCCATCGCAAAGAGGCACTCAGCCTGCCGGCGATCCCCGGGACGACTTGTAGGATGGGTTAGCGGCCTTGGTTTGGCATGGCCTCGCAGCTTGCACGATACGATTGCGTTGAGGGCTGGAGTGAGCTCTAGGCGAGCATGGGAAAGCCTTTACGGGCTACCGAAGCTAGTCGCGACGTCGCTGCTGCACGGTTGCCTCGATACGCTTGTCATCGAACTCCTGGCATATGTCCCGCCTCAGCCATCTACTCAGATCCTTCCTCTGCGACTGAGGTCGCAAATGGGGTGCTGGAGAGCTCATGCGGGTTTGTAAAGAGGAATGCCTCTGCTATGAATGAACGACGAGTCAACGTGCCACAGTGTACAACCCAAAACCTAGCTTCTGGCTCAAGCAGGCCAAACATCTGTCGCTCGCTCTGCTCTTCCCACCAATGTGCATCAAAGGCGCGCTTCGGTGGCATTCTTTAAAGCGGTCTCAACAGCTCCTAGATCCGAGTCCTTCTCCAGGTTGATCCCAGCCAAGGTGAGCAATGCTTTTGCCTGAGTGAAGCGGAAAGCAGTGGTAAAGGCGACGCTTTCAGGGCGGGCCAAGTCACTTCCCACTCTTTGGCTCCTTGGTTTCTGAAAATGGACCTCGCTTCCTTGACGGAGCCGACGGCCTTGGCCTGAATGGCTCGGCTCAATATTTGGGACGTGTCCAAGCCCTGGGCTTCCGAGAGTTAAGGACGAAGGACATCCCAGTGTGCTGGGGAACTGAAGCCCAGAGCTCGAATTTGGGGTGCTTCGGATCTGAGGTCGGCCCTGGGCTGCACCAAAGCATGCCAACCCTCGAGCAGTTCCGCGATGGGACCTGAAATCAATGCAGCTATCCGAGCTATCCACCCCAGCCTCCCGACACACCACAAGCGAGAATCAAGAGACGCCAGCACAGACGCTCCAGCCCACCAATTGTTCGGAGAGACATGCTGAAGGCCGGTTCGTCTTAGCAACTGCTCGCGCTGGTTTCTTAAGGTGCCTAGGAGGGAAAACGAGAAAGCTACAAAAAACCTGGCCACTGAAGCATGAGATACGAACCACTGGTTCGACGTGCCTTCGCCTTGCCTTCCTTGGCGGAGTTGGCTTCTCCAAAGGAAGTTAGCATCTTGGCTTCGCCAATCTTATCCCCGACCTGATCGGGCAAAGGGGATAATCGAGAGAACACAAGCAAGGCAACTGCATCCCGATCGCTCCTCTTTATATCGTGCCAGCTCATCGTTGGCCAACTCTTGCGCGGCAGCATTTTCGCCGCTCCCGACCAAGGCCTTCACGACCTCACATGCTCAGATGCCGCGGGTTATGCCGCAGAGTCCTTGTGTCTCTGAGAGCCGGGCGAGCCGGGCTGCATCCGCGGCGCCGGCGCTTCCTGCAGCTCTGAAGGCCTTCAAAGCTGCTCGAGCCTTTTCCGCCGCTTCAGCCTCGGGCGTCACCAAGATGCGGCGCCCAGAATGCATCTGCTCTAATTACTTCTTCACAGAAAGAAACAAAAAACATGACTGGGATCTCCAAAGTGTCAAACTGCTCCTGGCCAAGGAGATCCTCTGCTTCCACAAAGAGCTCGCATGCCTCTTTGGAAGATCCGGTAGCCCCTTGGTACTTCTCAGAGAGGAAGTCTCCTCGGCTTTCGGGGCCATGGGCACTCCTTTTCATGCTCCCATGCATACAATGCGAGCTCAGCGCCTCCGCCTCGGCAGATCTGCAAGGGCATCTTCCACCATGCGCAGCTTAGACAATAACTCGGCAAGTCATCCCAACTTGCTGATGGGGCTCTTGAGCCTGAAAAAGCCATCGGGTTATGATCGTGTGAAGCATCATCAGCCGGCGGTACCGTAACTGAGTGCTACTTAAAAAATTAAACCCCCAAGTTTCTCTCCTTGGAAGGCAGATGGACATCTGCCAGCTCGCCGATCTGCTCGAAAACCTGACACGCGTGGACCGACGGGGGCAGGCCCGGCCGGGCCCCTGCTCAGCTCTTGCAGCCGGCGCCTTTCGAAGGTGCCTCCTTTGTTGGCAACACGCAAACAGCCCAGCCACCCCGTGCCACACAGCATGCAGAGCACGCAGACCACCACTGCTTCCCCTTGTCTCCAAGGATCTCTCTGGCGTCGAAGGACAGGTTGCGAACGATGAGTCGCCCCGCCTGCAGCGCACCGTTGCAGGAGAACCTACACTACACTGCACAGCACACTGCAAACGCTGCAGAGGCCTTGCTGCTTTGACGACTGAGCTCTAACGCTCGCAGTGAAGCCGTGATGGTGTGTCCTGCCACACCCGGCAAGAGGTAGACGCCACAAAGCAGCCTCACCGACATGTAGAATGTGCCAGGTTCGCCGTTCATGTCGGCCCCGCTGAGGCACTCAAGCCTCAGTATGGCGTTCAACCGCTGTGCCATGGGAACCGTGGCATCCAACATTGCAACACACGCACTATCCTTTTGGCGAAAATGACTTTTTGCGCACTGCCTGTTCAAGTGTGCAACACGGCCTGAGACCAACACACAAGATACGTACAGACCTGCCACGCATGCCCGGTTGCTCCAGTTGAGGAGGCGAGCCCTTCCCGGCCCTTCCCCTTCCCTGTGTGGTGGGTGCTCCAAGGGCTCCTTTCGAGTAATGAAAAGACTGGTGCACAGAACGATGCGAAGTCCTTGCGCACCGCTTCTGCTCACCAAGTCTGGTCGCGGTCATGATTGCCTTTTCCCCCTTTTCGAGGCTCTCTCTGCTTTGGAGATGCCCTGAACCATTGAAACGTCCTTTTTGTGAGCAAGGATACATCTGATACATCTACTGGCGCTGAAGGAAACCCAGAGTCAAGAGGAATTCCCGGTGACAGCTCAGTGCAAGGCGCTCGTCTCGCGTTCTGATCCTTCCCGAACGGAGCAGCAGATATACAGGGCTCGAGCAACGCCGGACCCCTGAAGCCATGCATGTCTCCAAGTCTCATACTCAGCACGGCTTCCGAGAGAAGAACTCTGACCAAGAAAATCCGCCGTTGTTGATGCGCTCGGCTTCGCAAAGCTACGACCCGGGAATTTAGGCTTCCTGAACCCGCTGTCCTTTCGAAAGGAAATGGTAAAGTGACCGGTGCCCACCACCCGGCGAACGGCCTGGGACATCAAGAAACACATTGCCTGGATGCAGTCTGCGGCACCGCGCCTCAATCCCACATCCACCAGGGAGTCTCTCCTGGAATGGAGGCCACTGAGACAGACAGGCAGAATTGCCACCACGTTCCTCAATCCACTGGCGAAGCTTTTCCTTTGTGATTGCTGGCCTCGGATCATGCGATGCTGTCACAGCTATGCTAGCGGCTAGCGCTCGATCTGAGGCCGTCGCGGCACGCCACTTAGCTGAATGCTGCGCAGATGTACCAGTCCTTTCGCTTCCTGACACTTTGCAGAAACTTGGCTTGGCGATGCTCGAAGTGCAGGCGTCCTGGTCCACCTCCGAAGTGGCTTGCTTGCCTTTGGCAGCCGCACCCCTTGGAGGCAAACAGCATGATGGTTTTCGTAGTACTTGAGTGCGGGATTGGCGCACCGTTTCGGCTTCCCGGCTTGGACCTTTAAGGTGGAGCCGTTGAAATCGGAACCGTTGAGTTCCTGCAGTTTGAAGTTCAACGAAAGAATCCTGACATCTCCGACGCATCTCCGGCCCTTAAGCCGGTCCGGTCCTGCAGACATCTTCGGGCATCCTGGACCAGGAGGTCACATTTGGTCACATCTCCTGCGCTCTCCGCTCTCTGCTCTCTCCGCTCTCTTCGTCCTCCTCCTTCTGGAACTTTGCGATGCCGTAATCCTCAGCAAGGGCATTTGAAAGCTGCACTGAATCACTGCTGATTGACACAATCCCACATCATGGCGGATTATGGGTAGCGCGGGCGTCTGTCTGTCAACGCTCTGTTGGCCGCTTGGGGTCGAACGTCACGAATGACGAAGCATGTGACGACAGCTCCCACTCGCGCCTTCAAGGTGAAATTAAGGTGGCTCGACCCCGAAGCGGCCCAATGAGCATGAAAGCCTCTAGGAAGACTCGGAGATCTTTGTCCTCGACTGCGGCTTGTCATGCTGCTTTTTTTGCACAACGCTGCAACTTGCCCCGTCCGTCGTGCCCTCCGGTATCCCCCGGACAAACACGCTTGAAGCATCGCCTTGCCGTTCAGGGACAATGGTGTATTGAAGAGAAGTACGTTGTTGAGCCCTCCGTGAGGTCTGAGGACCGGTCTTTCTCGTGTCGCCCCCTTCTTGGCCTCAGCCTGTCCAAGTCGAGGCAGCGTGTCCTGGTCCCGGATGCGCGAACATCCCTGGCCTTGGCGGCCTCTTTGGGCTTCCTGCGCTGCATTTTTATCGAAACGGGGGCTCAAAGCCAGGGCCCGCCTCCCGCCTCCGCCCAGACTTCACGGGCCTCGTCCGACGGCTCATGCGCGCGAGGGGCAGCCATCTCACGCCATGTCTTGTCGGGAAACCGGAAAGGTGACCGCAGCCGCTGATGTCTTGAACCCGCACTGTATGAGTCGAGACTTGCTCTGTTCTGTCAGTGCTCTTCGAACTCCGCTCTAGAACCATTATAATCAGTCAGCTACGTGCTGCATGTCACTGGAATCAGATCAGCGTGCATTTTGGTTTTGTGCAAGAGATGTTCCATCCAGTGATGCCGATCGTCAGAGCTGGAATTGCAGCTCTCTCGCTCAATGTCTCATTTGGGGCCGGGTCGAGCACAGAAGCACACCCTGCAAATGGACAATCTCTAAAGTCTAGCATTGCCACCTGCGGAAGCACGATGAGAACAACTGTGCGGCATGTCATGTCTTCAGGAGCATTAGATTCGCCAGATGTCCTGTCCGCTGCAGTCGCGCAGAACTACTTCGTGAGCGACTGCTTCCTGACATCCGTCTCCGAAGCCATCTGAGCATTGGCATCGTCTGAACCGTCTGCCATGGCATATGCACCTGCATCTCCTCGTTCTGCGTCAGAAGCCTTGGAACGGCAAGCCACACCGAAAAAGGTCACTCCATCTCGCATCTCTCAGCTTCTGGCCGCGTGCAGGCTCACAGGACGTTCGCCAGATCTCCTCAGCCAAACACAGCCACTGCGAACACACGTGCAGCATTGCTGCAAAGGGTAGCAACTATCTGAGCCCAGCTCTCATGCTGGCTTGCTGAATTTTCGGAGCAAGCGCAGACGCAATGGTGTCCACCTTTCCAGTGACAACTTAGCAGCATGAGAACTCTTGGCGAAGGTGAACTGAGCCCCCAACCAAACATCCACGTTGTTGGTCCGGTCGTGCAGGTGTTCGTGCAGTGATTGCCGGGTGCTTGGGTGAAAGCTCTCCGGCTTCGATTCTCAGCAGTGAAGCTTGTCCGGTACTATCTGACAGGCTCGTGCTCTTCTACCTCTGAGAAGCCAATGCCCATACCGAAGCTGAAAGCTCCTCTGCAGTTAGCTCCCGCAGCTCCCGCTCCGACAGGCAAGTTGCGGAAACGGCCCCTTGTGCTCGGGAGGCGGACACTCTGAGAACACCTGCTGAACGTCTCAAGCTCATCTCCGCATGGCTTCTGTGTCTGCCCAAAGTTGACTCCCAGCGCCTGCTATGCGCCTTGAACCAAACGGCATGGCACGGCATGGCATGACATGTCACGGCATGATATGGCATGGAGTATTGTGGACTTTGATCTGCTTTGCGGCTTTTGCACTTACTGCCTGCTTTTTGCACTCTGCAGGCGATACACCTGCGCATTCGGGGGTCTGAACGGTGAGTAAAGCAAGTGAGACATTGGCTGCCTGACTTGCCTCCCGACGCCTACCCGTGCCCTGGCTGGATACCTGAAAAGATGCTTTCCTCACATTGAAGATGAGGTAGATCTACTAAACGATACTGTACTCTGGCAGGAAAGAACAGTAGTCCTGATACAAAGCTAGTGCACTTTCGGGAAAAAGCACAGTAAGAATGGGATTGCTGCCTTTAGGCAGGAACTCCTGAAACCTACTGTCCAGTGATCACAGAAGCTCAGGCCTGCAAGCAGGGACGAATTTGCAACTCAACATCGTGCAGCAGCTAGGCCGCTTGATGCCGGGCG